GCCGGAAAGCTGACGTTTCATTTTCTGAAGAAGGGTCTAGGCCCGAAACGTCAGCTTTCCTGCTCCTCTGATGCTGCTTGGCCTGCTGTGTTCATCCAGCTCTACACCTTGTTATCACAGATTCTCACATGCAGTTCTCCAATCCAGGAGGAAGAAACATCAAGACAAATTTCAGAGAAAGTAGCAGCTAGGAGATATTCAATGAAGCTTCCAACTCTTGAGAGCCCAATGGCTTCTGCTTAAAACTAAACCTAAAAACTAAAAAAAGAACCTTAAAAGCCTGGTCTGTGAGGGCTGGCCACACCCAGGCTACTTCCTTTGTTCCAACTTTATAAAAACCCCAAGGCCTCACAAAATGTTTGCTTTCTTAGAGACAGCTCAGTACCTCTGCCTTCTCTTCAAAAAAAAAGCTCAAAATAACCTCTTGAAGTGATAGCATCATTACAGTTGCAATTGGTGTGGCGGATATAACACTATAATGCTGTTAGGTGAGAGTTCCAGAATTTTGTCCCCATTAATCTGTGTGAAGCCTAATGGTCTTTTCCTGTCACTTAAAGATCCCTTTGTTCTCACAGATATGCTTTGAAGGGCAATGTCAGAATGCTTCATTCCTGGAGGCAGATGAATGTATCGCAAAATGCCACAACCATGGGGTAGGAACCTATCTTCCTTCATCTTTGCTGTCACATGTAACATTACACCATGGAAACACTCACCTTGGCCAGACCTGTTCATGTGAGCAAATTGTTTGAATTGCATTCATCCTCCCTGATGCTGTACACATTTTTCCTGTTTTCCTTCATACCTCTATCCAATTTAACATTGAATATTGACTTTAATGACTCCAAGGCATTGTATTTGGATTGTTAGTGCAGATCAAATTGAGTAAGAATCAAGTAAGTGCCTGCAGAGAAGAGCAGAGAAGGGAAGAATAGTGAGGTGAACAAAGGTGTGGCCTAAGAAGTGGGTTTTGAACATAGAACAGATTAATAAGGTGGAGATGTTTAGAAGGAGTGTGGGTCCACTTGGCTTTATGGACAATATGAGCAAGCTTTGGAACACGATGTCAAACACAGAAGAGCAGAGGGCAGTAGGTTAAGATGGAGAACATGACGGAATTGCAAAGGTAGGCTGGGAAGGGAATTGTAAACTATCTCAAGATCTTTGAAAGAGCGCAAGGTTGCCAATTTGGCCAATGAAGTGATTTTGACTAAGGAATCATATGTAAGATGGTGGGTTTGTTGACTGTCTTTTCTCGTTGGCCCAGGTTTGTAACAACAAGCATAACTGTCACTGTGAGCCGGGCTGGGCACCTCCATTCTGTAACAAGCCAGGGTACGGTGGCAGCGTGGATGGTGGAGTTGGAGCGCCAGACTGTAAGTGGGCAATGATTGTTGTCTGTCACCATGCTGCATGAAGCAAGACCACAGTTAAAACTCTGCAATCAGCCCTGGGCACTATGCCGCAGGAAGAACATACAGACCTTGGAATCAGCAAAGCTGACTCACCAGAATGATACTGTTGCTGAAAGATTTAAATGTAAGGGGTACAAGCAGGAGTAGGCCTTTAGCGTCGTATGGTGCTCCATCATTCAATATGATCATAGCTGATCTGATTATGATCTTGACTCCACTTTCCTGTCTGTCTCCCCCATAACTCTAATATAAAAACAAAATACTGTGGATGCTGGTAATCTAAAATGGAAAAAAGAGAATGCCGGCGAAACTCAACAGTTCTGGCAGCATCTGTGGACAATGAAACAGAATTAATATTTCAAATTGGATGTGACCCTTCTTTGGAAACCCTTGACTTCCTTTTGGGTGAGAAAACTGTTCAACTCAGTTTTGAATATATTTCATGACCAAGGATCCACAGCTGTCACACGGTATAGAATTGTGGATTCTTAACAACCTGCAGAAAGAGGCTATCGCTCCTTATCTCCACCTCAAATAGGAGATTTCTTAACTTGAAACTGGCCCCTCAATTTCCTTCAGAAGGGGACACATTCTGTTTCAACCTTACTTGCTCAAGTCTCCTCAAAATCTTGTGTGTTTCATTGGGTCGCTTCTCGTTCTTCTAAACTCCAGCGGATATAAACCCAACCTGGTCGACCGTCTTTCAAAGGCCAACCCAGGAAACAGCCTAGTGAACCCTCACTGAACAGGTATATCCCTCCTTAAATAAGGAGACCAAAACTGTTCTGTGCTAAATTTTAAGGAAAGGTCACATAGAGTCGTTTTATAATCCCTTCAGTATAGAAAATTAAGGATCCAAGGACATTTTATTGAAATGCATCAGATGCTGAGGAGGGTCTTGTGTGCAGTGTTAGTGTCCCTACCTCAGGGGTAGAAGGTTAGGGTTAAAATTTCACCCATTATGGAGGTGTGTCAAACAGGTCCAAACAGGTTACTGAGGAGACTTAATAGGGTGGATGCTGAGAGGATGTAGGAGAGACTACAACTAGAGGACACAGTTCAAAATTAAATGGTCTCCAATTTAACCTGGATGTGAAGATTTTTTTTCTTTTGTGGAACTTTCTTGACCAAAAAGAGGTGGAAGAAGGTTCGTTGAATATTTTAATGGCAGAGGTAGATAGACTTTTGACTAACAAGGGAGTCAAAAGGTATTGGAGGTAGCCAGGTAAGTGGTCATGGCCACAGTTGCTTAGCATTTGTATTATCAAAAGGCGGAGCAGACTCGGGGGACCAAATAGTCAACCCTGCTCCTAATACTTATGTTCTTAAAGGATAGGTAAAGAGAAAGCACGGTGGCTCAGTGGTTAGCACTGCTGCCTCACAGTGCCAGGGACCCAGGGATTGATCCCACCCTCAGGTGACTATCTGTGTGGAGTTTGCATGTTCTCCTCAAGTCTGCGTGGGTTTCCACCGGGTGCTCCGGTTTCTTCCCGGAGATGTGCGGGTTGTGTGGACCGGCCATGCTAAATTGGCCGTAGCGTCTAGGGGTGTGTAAGTTAGGTGGATTAGCCATGGGAAATGCAGGGTTACAGGGGTATGGAAGGGGGATGGGTCTGGTTGGGATGCTCTTTGAAGGGGTGGTGTGGACTTGTTGGGCCGAATGGCCTGTTTCTACACTGTGGGGATTCTATGGGGAAAAGAAAAGAAATGTTTTCTGTGGTGAGGGGCAGGCCAGTAATGTCAACAAAGATTTCTTCACACCAAGACACTTTACCATTCGATAAAGCTGTTGAAGGTCAATTGAAAGTTTCACCACTGGGGTTGATAATTTTTTGTTCCGCTAATTAATTCAGTTTACAGAGCCAAGGTAGGTAGATGGGGTTAAAATATGGGTTAGCCTGCATTTAATTGCAGGGTTGAAGAGGTTTCAAGGTTTAGTCTGGCTAATGCTGTTACTCTAAAATGATTGATGCCAAAATCTAGATTGAATCTTCCAATCAAGACTGCAAAGAAAAACATGTTGTTTAGGTTAAAAACCGAAAGAACTGCGGATGCTGTAAATCAGGAACAAAGACAAAGTTGCTGGAAAAGCTCAGCAGGTCTGGCAGCATCTGTGAAGGAAAAAACAGTTTCGGGTCCGGTGACCCTTCCTCAGAACTGTTGTTTAGATTGTTTGCCTTTTTGTTTTAACTGTTTAGCGCTTCCGTGACTCTCAATTCTGACTGTCAAAGTTCTCAGTTCACTCTAAGCTGACCCTCTTCTGCAATGCTGAGGGAGCATTGCACTGTCGGAAATACCACGTTTTTGGATGAAATGTTAAACTGAGTGCATGTTGTGCTGTTCAGGTGGATGTAAAAGTTCCAGTGGCACTATTAGTAGTGACCAGCTGCTGCCCTTCTTAAGATTAGTGCCCTGAGATAGTTTACATCTCCCCGAGAGGGCAGGCTCATGCTACCCTCCAATTTGTGGTGTCTGTTCTAGAATTTAAGAAATTCTAATCTCTGCATTAAAGAATTTTGGGTTCAACTCCCATTTCAGACACTCGAGCCCATCTTTGAAGCTGATACATTAGAGCCTGGAATAGCTTATTCTAAGCTAATGGTTGGATCCTGTGGCCGAGTTCAACTCCAGACCCCTGCTGAGTTAGCCAGTCAGCCATTGACCAGGAATCAGATTTTAACATTAAACCTGTGAAGGCAGCAAAAGCACCTTTGCTGCACACATGCAGGAGATGGGTGGCTAGCTGCTCAAGGTGGGAATCGAGCAGCCCAGTTATTAAATTGGCAAAGCAACATCCGAATAACCAGTGCTCCATGATTTGCCGGTAGCCGGGCATTAAGGGTGGAACTCCCCTCCCTGGGACTAGCACAATATTTGGGGAAGACACAAGGGGAGCAGTTGGGTCAAGTTTATCCCCTCCTTGCCACCCCAACCAATTCAGTTCTGGATGAGAAGGTTCATGGTTGGCCTTCTTGACCCACCATCAATTAATGCCCTAAAGTGGTCAATTAGTAACCAGATCATCCACCTTCCCAGCTACAAAGTGAGAAAGGTGGCTACCAGGAAACGCGCCTGCTGGAGCGGGGGGGCGGAGAGGGGACAGCAACAGACTCCATTTGCCCCAATCTGGGGAATTTGGGAGTGTGGATGGGGAATAAGAAGATGGCTTCTAGAAGCTCCCCTTCTACCCTATCCTCCAAACCCTCCCTGACCTCCCTTTCTCTGTGAACCTCACCCCTGGCAGGAAAATAAAAAATTACTACCATCTCAGCACTGGAGGCAGGATTGGACCTCTGATTGGCCAGCAACTTCTGGCAAACCAGAAGGCCAATATCTAGGCCTGTTACAGGGCGAGAAACTCACCTACATACACCTATCAACTCTTAAACGAGCCAATTGGCATCTGGCCAAATAAGGTGTCTCAGAAGCAAGTGTTGTGTGTTCACCACCACGTAATGCATACTCCTCTCCGCCCCCACATTTGATACCGCAAAAAAGATAATTTCCACCCTAAGACTCAATTTGTGAGCTTCAATTTACGGTGTTTGGAAATGGATAATATTTTCATTCTGGGTGCTCTCAGTCAATGTCAATATTGCCAACCTAGTACAACATGGAATGGCTGCAGACTTCTAAAGTAAGAACTTGCATCTACAGGGAGGCAAGGGCCTAGAGGTATTATCACTAGACCATTAATCCAGAGACCCAGCTAATGTTCTATGGATCTGGGTTCAAATCCCACCATGGTAGATGGTGGAATTTGAATTCAATAAAAATCTGGACTTAAAAGTCTACTGATGACCATGAAACTGTTATCAATTGTCAGGAAAAGCCCATGTGGTTCACTAATATTCTTTAGGGAAAGAAGCTATTGCCCTCACCTGGTCTGGCCTATATGTGACTCTAGGCCCACAAAATGTGGGTGACACGTGTCTGCATGGGTTTCCTCCAGGTGCTCCAGTTTCCTCCCACAGTCCAAAGATGTACAGGTTAGGTGGATTGGCCATGCTAAATTGCCCGTGGTGTTCAGGGATGTGTAGATTAGGTGGGTTATAGGGGGATGGGTCTGGGTGGGATGCTCTGAGGGTCGGTGTGGACCTGTTGGGCCGAAGGGCCTGTTTCCATACACTGTAGGGATTCTGTGATATTTAACTGCCCTCTGGGCAAAACTGGCCTTAGCCATCAACACCCACACTCTGTGAATGAATGACTCCAGGATATCCTTAACGTATTTTATGACCAATCGGTTACCTATGGTGTGCAAGCACCATTGTACCATTATGGACAGTTAATTTGTATACAGCAAGATCCAACGAACTGCAAAGTGATACTGGCCAATGAATCTGCCTTAAGCTGCTGCTGGTTGAGTTGAAAATATTGGACGAGACCTTAAGGAGAATTTTCCAGATCTTCTTTTCCATCCACCCGAGAGGACAGTGTACTCTCCCAACTGGAAGCTGAGACCTCCAACAATATAGCTCTCCCTCAGTACTAGACTGGAACACCACCCTGGATAATGAGTTGAAGTCACTGGAGTGGACATCATTCTGACCCAGAAGTGAGAGGGCTGCAATGCAGCTGACACTCCTCAAGCCCTTGTGTACAGGAGAAACTGTCTGCTTTGGACTTTAACCAGTTCCCAGAGGCATGCAGTCAGAATGACACACAGTTAGGCACCTATCTCTCCCAGTTCAGATTAATTTACTTTGTTTAATGGTTGAAGAAAACATGGCAGTGTGGATGCAGAATCTTTAAATACTTTTAAGGCAGATGTAGGTAGATTTTTGATTACCAAAGGGATGAAAGATTATCGGGGAATGTGCACGAACGTGGAGTTAGGGTTTAAAATCAGATCGGCCATGATTTTATTGAATGGTGGAGCCGGTTTGAAGGGTTGAATGATCTACTCCTGTTCCTTGTTCATATGTTCAAGGCATCAACAGATTAAGTTTATTTCACCGTGATATTGATTCTCGAGAGATATGATTGAGAGTAAATTAAAAGTGAATCTCATATGAACCTAAAACAGAGTGGTAGAGAAGGACGGAGTCGAGTGATAAACAGAGTTACCATTTTCAAATTCAGCCAGGATAATTCTGGACTCGAAACATTAACTCTGTTTTTCACTCAACAGATGCTGCTAGACCTCCTGTGTTTCTCCAGCATACTCTGATTTTGGTTCAGATTTCCAGAATCCAGAATCTTTGTGTTTACTCATATGAACTAATATTTTTGGCAGACAACAGCCTGATTGTGGTGGGAATCGTGGTGCCAATTATATTGTTGCTGTGTGGCATTGCAGTAACTCTGCATTACTGCTATCGACGGAGACACAACATCTCTCCGAAGGACATCAGGAACCTAGGGCCTAATGACAAACAATTCTGGTAATTTGACCTTTATGTTTAACTTATCTCACATTTTCAGAGGGAATCTCTGTCACCCCCACTATTCTTTTAAGTCATTCTAATTTTACTCATGAACTGATTCTGGCTGATCTACAAACAAGTAGGGCCAGGCTACAATTTTCGTTAAGAAAGCTGGGGCTCCTCAGGAAGCCAGCCTGTGTCTTCCTATCACTAGATTGTTCTGCAGGGTCAGAGATCCTGAATGGTATCTGTCCTTTTGCAAGTAACTAGCTTACCATAGATAGGCATCATAAACATAGATACTGAAGGAATATTTAGCCTTTGTTCTGCCTTTATCTTAGAGTAACTGGATTTTGTTTCGATGTTGACATTAGCATCACAGGTCACGAACTCCATAAAAAATCTTTGGGTGGCTAATATACTGGGAGGTTAAACCATGCTGTTACCATGAAGTGCCAAGAGGGGAGTCCAAGTACGTGTCCGCTAGGTTGGGAAAGATTGAACTGGGCTATTCTTGCACCTCCTAGTGGCTACTGTGGGAGCAGCCACTGAAGCATGGGTCAACCTGAATTCCTGACCCTTGGAGCACATAATGGAGGGTGGGCCGAGTAAATGAAAAGACAATGGGGGTGTGTAACCCTCCTCCATAGGAAAAGGAAAGATTTTGTTCCAAATCTTCTTGAGGTTTAATTTATTTTTTTCACGATTGTTGCACACACAGGATTAGGGATTGGAAACAAAATATGGTGTCAAAAAGCCGCTGAAGGTTAAGGTAGTTTTTCTCGATGACATGAAGAGATGTCCGTTGTAAGCTGCTGAATTAAGTTGTGATACGTAAAGACTATAGCATTGCGTCCAGATGCTCCTGCCATCCACTCAGATAAAGAGATATTTCACAGTTACCCCAAGCTTTGATATCACTCCATCAGTCTGCAATGTTTTTACAATCCTCCATCTTCTACATTGTGTATAAGCCTAATACAGAGATTGATCCCAGATTATGAGAGATGTCGCACCATTTTAACCTGTGTGACGAGGTTATAATGTGTTGTTAATTTCAGTGCATCACATATGTTCTGTAAAAAACTCATTGATACTCTTGTAAAAGCAAAATACTTCAAATTCTGAGAGCATGAAATTTGTGTAGAAATTGCTGGAGAAACTCAGCAGGTCTGGCAGCAACTGTGGAGAGAGAAACAGTTAACATTTCAAGTCTGACACAGCTTGTTCTGAGCAACGGTCATGTTCGACTCCAGCTGTTTCTGTCTCCACAGATGCTGCCAGATTTGCTGATTGTTTTCAACACTTTCGCCTTTTATTCTTTAATGCTGTGATGTTGTTGTTGCGTCTCTAATAGAAGATTGATGCCCAATGTGACGACTGCACATCCACACACACAAATGCATACACACACTGACAGAAAACCCAGCCAAAAGACTGGCCAATGTACACATACATGTGCACACACACAATACACACATACAACACAAATGTAGAGGCAGAAACTCTGAGGCTGAGGCGATGTTCTTAAGTTCTAATGCATGCATTCAGACCCTCATACTGCCACAAAACCTTCACACAAGCATTAATACTTCGGCTTTCGAGCATGTGCATACACACACAGACACACACACACACAGACACACACACACACACACACACATGCACATGTACGCACGCGGACACACACATACACACACACACACACACAGACAAGCATAAACACACAGACACATTGAATCACAGAACTGTGACAGTGCAAAAGGATAGCATTCAGCCCACCATGTTAGCACTAGAATCATGACTTAGTGCCATTCTCCCATCCTTTCTCCATAACTTTGCCCATTATTTCAGTGTAGCTAATTATCTAATGCACTCTTGAGTACCTCTGGCTGATCCCTAGACATTACCCTACAGCCATTCTGTGATATCCCTGACCCTAACACCAGGAAGGAAGCACATTGTCCAGGAGTCATGCCACGGCTACAGAAACACCTGTCTGTTTTTCACTCTTGTGTTGCTATGGGCCTGGAGTTTGCTATCCTCCTCTGAGAAGCCATCACCCCCATCATAATCCAGAATAGAGAATCAAATCTTGAGCAGGACCTCAGTGGACGACTTGCCTGATTCTCTTGTACTGCCTGCTGGTCCCCATGACCTATCTTCCTGCATACCCCTAACTTGTGGTGTGACCACCTACATCCATGTAACTCTCAGCCTTGCTGTTGCACCACAATGGTCCCAGCAGCCACTTAAGTTATGAAACCCAGAGCTCAGGTTTCTGCAGCCCCTAACACTTACAGCACATGTTCTTCTAGGCTATCTGAAGTGTTCACAATTCCCACGTGCCGTATTGCCCGTGGCCGAGCTGCCCTGACATAACTTAAGCTTACTTTTCCAGTATTAACTAGAAACTGAAGATTCAAGGTGAGACTGCATATACAGGCACGGAATCTTCTAACAAGGATTAATGTTCAAGACTGAAAAGCGTGTGTGCGCACACATAAACATACATACATGCACATATACCCATGCAGACATATGGGCGCAAACTATTACATCATTTTTATGCAAGGAAGAAGAAAGATCGGGACTGACATAAATGCACACTGACCCACTCCCAAGCAAACATCTATGCGCTCAAATTCCTGCAGATACTCAAGGACACTCCTGAATATGTCCATCAAGTCCATGGCGTAAAGAAATCTGTTTGTTTTCACTGTAATGGAATCAACGTTTGAAGATTTACAAACAATGTGTTATTTAACCAAATTATGATCTATCCTGTGTCTTTTGCCAGTGATAATAACGTGGACCAGAAAATTAAAAACGGCCATTCAAACCCAACCTTCCAAATCCGAAACAAAGATACAAAGGTAAGTTTAAGAGAAAATGGTAATAATTTGGCGGGAAAAGAATATCCAGTGGGAGAAGTAATTCCACAAATGGCTCACTGATAGAGTTGTACTATGAATACCTGCAATCGGACAACTGACCCTGTGCTTAGACACACAGCATTTAATATCGGAGTGTTCAGTGAGGAAGCAGATCAATTGTCATTATTTTTCAGAGTCAATTATTGTTGAAAATTAGTCAGTCTAGGAAGAGGATCAGTATCAACAGGAATACCTTAGAATTCAGTCTTAGAGTGCTGCAGTACAGAGACTGATCAAGTGAACCAATGTATTCTCCATCTAATCTAATTAATGCCCATACCTTTTTCAAAGAAATTGTTCTCAATGCCTTGTTCAAGATAACTATCTTCCTCATTTTTAAAATAAGTTTGAGTCAACAGTAATACCTCATTCTCACAAGCCACTGCACAACTAATTTGTTTTCCAAACTTCTCTTTCCTTTTCTGATTATCTTGAACTTGTGACACCCTGTTACCATTTCACCAACCACTGATACGCTCTATTGCTACTCACCTTGCCACAATCCTCTGAAAAACTTCCCAATTTAACCCTCTCAGAGCCAGTGCAGTTTTAAAATCTCAATTTTAATTCCAAAACTTCTCCCACCTGACTTTCTAATAAATCTGTTATGTCTTTCCTATAAACCCAAATTGATGTAAAAAAAGTCCAAATGTAGCCGAACTACGAACCTAAGAAACTTTGGGTACTGCTTAAAAAAAACTGTCAAATTTTTTTTACCATGTATTCATCAGGACAGATGCAAGAGTGTCATATGTCAAAGGGAACAACAATTTATACTGTATGAGAAAAGTGTGCAGAATGGTACCAATTTCCTCAGAGTACAACGGGACCTTGATCAGATGGATTGGTGGGCTGAGGAATGGTGGATGGAATTTAATTTAGATAAATGTGAGGTGCTGCATTTTGGAAAGGCAAATCAGCAGGACCTGTACACTTAATGGCAAGGTCCTGGGGAGTGTTGCTGAACAAAGATACCTTGGAGTACTGGTTCATAGTCCCTTGAAAGTGGAGTGACAGGTAGGTAGGTTAGTGAAGAAGGCGTGTGGTAAACTTGCCTTTATTAGTCAGTGCATTGAGTATAGGAGTTGGGATGACATTGTTGCAGCTGCACAGGACATTGCTAAGGCCACTTTTATGATACTGCATTCAATTTTGTTGTCCCTGCTACAGGAAGGACATTGTGAAACTAGAAAGGGTTCAGAAAAGAATTATGAGGATTTTGCCAGGGTTGGAGGGTTTGAGCTTTCGGAAGAGGTCAAATAAGCTGGGACTGTTTTCCCTTGAGCATCGGAGGCTGCGGGGTGACCTTACAGAAGTTTATAAAATCATGAGGGGCATGGATAGGGTGAATAGCCAAGGTATTTACCCTAGGGTAGTAGAGTCCAAAACTAGAGGACATAGGTTTAAGCTTAGAGGGGAAAGATTTAAGAGAAACCTAAGGGGCAACTTTTTCACGCAGAGGGTGGTGCGTGTATAGAATGAGCTGCCAGAGGAAGTGGTGGAGGCTGGTACAATTACAACATTTAAGAGGCATCTGGATGCATATATGAATAAGAAGGGTTTAGAGGGATATGGGCCAAATGCTGGCAAATAGGAGTAGATTAATTTCAGATATCTGGTCAGCATGGACAAGTTGGACTGAAGGGTCTGTTTCTGTGCTGTATATCTCTTTGACTGTATGACTGCACAACTCTTTCTAGTCGTGGTGTTGCCAGAGATCTGAAACAAAGATAAAAAAATTGCTGGAGAGCCTCAACAGGTCTGGCAGCATCTGTAGGGAAAAGGCAAAGTTAATGTTTTGGGTCCAGTGACTCTTCTTCGGGACAGTTTCATTTTGTTCCATTTTTCATGGCCTTTCCTGCTTGTACATCAAAGCCTCCTACTTTTCTATTCCTTTTACAATGTTACCCTTCAAGATGCAATCCCTTTTCTCTATCCATATGAAAAATATAAATAAATATATGAAACATTAAACTGTAGTTGCCATCTATTGTGCCATTTTGTCTCTATGCTCCTTTAAGTGTTTTCAACATCACAACTAGATGTCAATTGTGAGATAGTAAGAACTGCTGATGCTGGAGTCAGAGATAACAGTGTGGAGCTGAAGGAACACAGCAGGCCAGGCAGCATCAGAGGAGCAGGAAGGTTGACGTTTTGGGTTGGGACTCTTTTTTCAGAAATGTCAATTGTAATTTTTGACACCAGTCATTTTATCCTCAAGATTGTACATGTTTTCTAAAGCAGCAAAAACATAAACTCTGATGAACATCCTATCATCGCTATGTTTTGTTTTGTAAGCAGTCTAAGTAACCATAGTCCTCTTTGTCTCTGTCCACCAGTCCATCTGATCAATGTCCCGTTGAACTCTGAGGTAACCTGGTACCATTCTGCACACTTTTCTCATACAGTATAAATTGTTGTTCCCTTTGACATATGACACTCTTGCATCTGTCCTATCAAACCCTCTTTTGAAAGTCTACTTAAACCATGCTGCCATATTTGGCACACTTGCCTTCATTGCTCAGACCATTGAATATGGGAGTTGGGATGTTATGTTATGGTTGTACAGGACATTGTTGAGGCTACTTTTGGAGTACTATGTACAGTTCTGATCGCCCTGCTATAGGAACGATACTATTAAATTGGGGAGGGTGCAGCAAAGATTTACAAGGATATTACTGGGACTGGAGTGCTTGAGTTACGAGGAGAGGCTGGGTAGGCTGGGACTTCTTTCACTGTAGGAGGTTGAGGGGTGACATTACAGAGGTTTGTAAAATCATGAGGGGCATAGTTAAGGTGAATAGCAGAAGTCTTTTCCCGAGGGTGGGTGAGTTCAAAACTAGGGGAAATAATTTTAAGGTGAGAGGCTAAAGTTGTAAAGAGGGTGGTTCATATGTGGAACGAACTGCCAGAGGAAGTGATAGATGCAGGTACAGCTACAACATTTAAAAGACATTTTGATATGTACATGAACAAGAAAAATTCAGAGGGATATGGGCCAAATGCAGGCAAATGGGACTAGTTTAGTTTGGGAAACTTTGTCCACAGGGACAAGTTGGACCAAAGGGTCTTTTTCTGTGCTGTATGACTCTATGACTCTGTTTCTATAATTCTATAATAGTTGTATATGACTGACCAATTGCAACCTGCCTTTGGAAATCCACACTGACTGCTGCAGTTAGCTCCTGTTTTCTCTAGGAGTGACATGCTTTTATCCTAAATTATCGATTCAAGTAATTATACATAAGTAAACCTAATTGGTCTATAAATTTCTGGCATTTCCCTTGTTTTGTTAAGAGGGTCATAAAATTAATCACTTTTCAGTCCACTGCCAAAACCCATTTCCACATTAAGTTTGGAAAATAGCCAGAGAATCTGCAAATTTCTTCCTCCAACTTCCCTCTAGATCTTTAAACCTGAGGTCACTGGCTCCCTGTCTTCTTAATTTATGTCACATTTTTAGGGCCACTACTTTTTAAATAATAACAAATGTTCTACGCCCACCTTCGAGCACTCTTGAATCTCTTAACCTGCCTTGTTTGTGATAACTAATGTCATTTTCTCTGGTTTGGGTATTTTGCTGCTACCAATTCTTCCTTCTGGATATTTTCAGATCATCCAGTACCTACATGTTACTACACATGTGTGGAGCAGATAGGAATTGTATCCTCCTTTCTGCGCTGAGCTTAAAGCCCTGTCTAATTAGTGGTGATTGTGGATAGTGTAGTCATTGTAATGAGGTCAGCCAGATGGGCCTCATAGAATATGAGTTCCCTGATTGGGACTATTAATCTGGTCCATTCGGGGAGCCCTGGCTGACATAAAAGGTATGATTGTCAGGGATACTGACACTCTGGTGCCTGACTCTGTATGAGGCAGGACTCTTAAGGTTTTGGAGTAGATTTGTAGCTCGGGTTGTGGGTGTTGAGGTTGGTGAGGACTGTGGTCAAGGACTGATCATGTATAAATGAAATGTGACTTGGTGACAGGATACCAGCTTCTTTCAAATAAACCATTGATGAGCCTTAACAGAAGAGGCATTTGTCTTACATGACAATGTAGCTTATTGTATGAAAGTAATAGGAACAGGTTACTGAAACCATAACAACTAAAGCCTATTAAGAGCAGTGAGAAACACATCTGCTCCTTTAAGGAACTTGTGTAAATCCCCCAACTTTCTGTACTCAAAGACAGTGATGTCATCAGGATGGGTAGAGCTTAGTAAAAATCAGCATGAACTCCTTCAGAACGATAACATATACAACAACTCTACTGCCCCCAGATGTTATCATCCGTGTAGTTAACCATTATACATTCAGTATATATATTATATTTGCCATTACCCAACCTACCCCCAAGTCCCTGACTTCCCAAATTTTAGCAGCTTGAACATTTAACAATTTTCTCAGAACATTCTCCCTTTGGACTGAGAAGATTAAAGTTGGTCTTTTACTCAGGGTTGTTGGTTCGGATCATTTTCCTCCAGAGTATCTTCGATCTTATGGATGTCCTTTGCAGAGAATGTCATTCCTGGTTAACTGATCCATTAATCTGTTACCTTAGCTGGAGGACCTTTAATCTCCTGAATTCTCTTTGCAGAGGAATTCTTCTCTCCTAACTCAGGTAGTTTCCCCTTAGAATCATCTGGAGGACCTATAATCTCATAAATGCCCATCATGGAAGACAATTGCTCAGTTGAAACAAGTCCTTTCTTCCTTGGAGCATCCTGGATTTCTGGATCAGACAATATCTGCCCGATTGGAACAGTAGTCCCTTTTTCTTCTTAACCACGTCCTGAATCTGTGGACATTTGTCTGGTTTCTATGGAGTCATACGCAGCTTATCCCCATCTTGCTCAAGCAAATCTTTACTCTCAACTTGCAATACAGTTCTGTTGAAGCATGCAATCTCTCTATTTGGGGGGTGTGTGGGGGGTGGAGGGGGGGAGCTGGGTGGGGGGGGGTCGGCGACATGATGGCTCAGTGGTTAGCTCCTGCTGCCTCACAGCAGCAAGGACCTGAGTTTGATTTCACCTTCAGGTGACTGTCTGTGTGGAGTATGCACGTTCTCCCTGAGTCTATGAGTTTCCTCTGGATGCTCCAGTTTCCTCCCAAGACCCAAAGAGGTGCAGGTTGGGTGGATTGGCCATGCTAAATTGCCCATTGTGTCCAGGAATATGCAGGCCAGGTGGATTTAGACATAGGAAATGCAGGGTTACAGGGATGGAGTAGTGGGGTGTGTCTAGGTGGGATGCTCTTTGCAGGATCAGTGTGGACTCGATGGTCCAAATGGCCTGCTTCCATACTGTAGGGATTCTATTCTTCAATTTGTTAGTCAGGTTGGATGTCATCAACCACCCTGTGTGGTTCTTTTGGTGGTAAAGTAGACTTTCACATCCTCAGTCTGGAAAATTGCTGCTCACCTTTGTCCCTGGAATTGATTGTTCTGCCTCAGAGGCACAGAATGAACATTACTTGTGCTGTGCCTTCCTTCTTGTTAACAGAATCACAAAATGTCATGACACAAAAGGAGGCCATGTAGGACATTGTGTTTGCACTGACTCACCACATGCCTTAATCCCATTCTCCAGTCTTTTCCACAGATCCTTGTACATTCTTTCTAATTGTAGCAATCTGGCAAAAATTATATAACTCAAATACCAGAATTTTACTGTATTATCACGATCTCTGTGATGTCTGAGTAGTCAGTTTAGGGTGCAAGTAAGAAGGCTGTCTGCCTGTTGGTTTTATTTAGGGCAAAGTAGCATTAATATTTAAGTGATTCATGCTGTAAATGAAGTATAACAGTGACGTATATACCCCTGCATTAGGTTTCTATTACTGAATGTGTGTTTTCACATTGATTATGTGAACCCCTTGATCAACTGGCACAATCTTGGCCCCATAGGTGCTGAATGATAAAAGGTTAGTTGTATATGATCATCTAATGTCCTTTTGAATGCCTGCTTTCACTTCCATGCTGTGCACTCCATACTCTAACTATGCACTTTACAAAAAAAACTCACATCAAATTTGCTTCTTTAAATCTGTGCCCCTCTCATTCTTGATCTATTTCTGAGCAGAAACAGTTTCTCCCTATCCGCTCGATCCAATCCACGGAGTATGGAACAGTTCACAACTATCAACATTGGTGAACTCAACAGATTCTTTCTTCTTTTTGGATTCCATGATGAGTCTAGGAAGCCCAATGAAATCATCTACCAATTGTCCCTTGACCTGTTGGGCGAAAACCATTTACTTCTGGCCCAGTTATTGTCTGGGAGGTAGTTGACCTCCTGCAGCTACCTTCAGGATGTTGAGGTCAAGATATCCACGGAAGTTCAAAGTGAATCGTGTTGATTGTGAATTATGTAAACACTTTCAACTTGCTTAAACTCTTTGAGTTGCAGTGTAGAATATCCGTGGTCTTGACAGTTATTCCACTTGTGCCGTATATTCTCATCTCTTTTGGCTGTGACTTCTGATTTCTCAGGCATTGTTAACTGGTCTGATAGCAGTTCACAACTGTACAGAGCTTAAAAGTAATTTGTCCATCGACATAAACAGATTCTGTCAAATCTGAGTTACCTGGATCAACAAGCTCTCCCGGGAATGTCTCAGCTATCTTTTCCAATGGAGGTATATCACCTAATACAGGTATCTTCTAAAGGAGGTGGTGCAACCACATTGACCTTGTTGTATGTGTAAACATTTGTCTTTTTGCTGCTGTGAAACTGTGTCTTACTTCTGCACATCTTCTGGAAGCAGCCTGCGGTTTGACAAATTTAGTACTTTTTGTCATGGCAGGGCAATGCCTGTGCTTGTGAGGCCTTGTTGTACCAAAGTGCTTAACATCTGCTATTTGGCTTTTCTTGGGGTTGGCTTTTTCATGTGAAAAGATCATATAGAGCATAGAGATCTACAGCACAGATAAAGGCATTTTGGCCCATCACTGCCATTGCATATTTTATAAAGTAGATAATGTCTGCAGCTGTCTTTGTAGAGCTGCTCTTCTCCTCACGGGATTTGTCTATGAGTCTTTTTGGTTTTGCTTCTAGTACAATTTGAATAGCTTTCTCTGATTCTTCTTTCATTTAAAAAAGAATTAGAGAAATCTGGCAACAATTTATCAGTAATTCCAGCAATAATTCTGTTTCTTCTGAATTCCGATTTCAACATACCATAGTTTTTCACTAATCTGTAGAGATCACAGTTGAAATTGTCCCCTGTAAGCTGAACTCTTCTGTTAAAACTTGCCTGTTCAAGAATTCTGTTTGTTCTCAAATTGAAGTCGCTACTAAAAACTTTTAGAATGTTGCAAAAGTATGTATGCTTTTTATTATGGTGGGGATTAATAACAACATCCACAATAGGACCCAATGAATATAATAGTGCATTACCTGTTCTGCTTCATGCTTATTGTTTAATTTTAAAGCAGTTCTATTTCTTAAGAATTGTCTTCTCCAAGATGTCCAATCTTGAGTTTTTTTTTTGGTCCATTTTACTGAGCAATATAAATTATCCTTCCTAGTATTGAAAGTGATGAATTTAGAGGGCTACAAAGATAGCGCTGGAGGATAGAACTAGCTGGGTAGCTCTTTCAAAAGCCTATACAGACATGATGGGTCAAATAGCCTCCTTCTGTATTCTAAAATTCTATGATTCTATACTTAATATAGTTGTTGTGCTTATCATTGTATAGCTGTTTTAAATCTACAAGCTTCCCTCCATCAAGTTTAGGCAATACCACTCCTACACAAACTAACATTGCTCACATGGTGAGAATAGTCTCTTAGGTAAAGTAATGGAAGGCAGTGGACATAACAGAACTGAACTGATCTCCACCATCATTCATAATAGAACTTTCATTGCTGTATCACTGGTTGCTAGAACAGGAGTACAAAGAGGTGAATAAATTTGGACAGGGGAAGGAAGGGTGTAGATAGAGAAATATAAAGATATAAAGAAATAAAGATATAAAAAAAGACATAGCACTTAATTTTCCTTCTTTTTTCTTCCAGAATGGACCGCAACAGAGTCCTGCATTGCCTCAAAAACCACTATTACCTCACTCTCTTCATTCTCAGCGTCCTGTTTTAATACTACCAAGTCTTCGGCCTACCTCTCCAACCAATGATGGTCAGCAGGACAGCAGAGTGCCCACCCCTATTGCAGCACGGGTTTATTCTCCAGCATCTTTAGAATATGCCAATATTAAACCCTTAAAACAAACACCTCCTAATAGACCCTTGCCAGCAGATCCACTCCCAAAGACTTCAAAGGTACTTATTTAAAGCTTACCCCTTTTATTATTCATTTGTGCATAGGATGTGGACATCACTGGCCAGACAGCATTTGTTGACCATCCCTAATTGCCCAGAGGGCAGTTAAGAGTCAACCACATTGTTGTGGGTCTGGAGTCACATGTAGGCCAGACCAGGTAAGGATGGTAGTTTCCTTCCCTAAAGGACATTAGTGAACCTAATGGGTTTTTCCAACAATCGACAATGGATTCATGGTCATCATTAGACTCTTAATTCTAAATTTTTATTGAATTCAAATTCCACCATCTGCCATGTTGCGATTCGAACCTAGGTCCCTGGAATATTATCTGGGTATCTGGATTAATCATCCAGTGATAATACCACTAGGTCATTGCTTCCCCCTCATAAAATATGAAACAAGATGTGTGGAAATGGAAACTTTCAGTATCTGCTTATATCTTAGAAAAGACTATGGGTGACCTTCTGGGAAAAAAGGACTAACTGGTTTGAAACCAGATGAGTCACAACTCTAACCTGGGCAAATGGGCTCAAGTCATGGAACAGGGAAGCAGATGACCTTCTCTGTGAGGTTATAAAGAACACAGAAAACTCAGCCAATGAAATGTATATTCTGAGCACATCAGCACTGTTCCTGTCCTTATGCAGATCAGGAACACAGGGCTTAAAGAAAATGCAACAATATGCAATTGGGTTTGCTTTTAATGAGTCCATCATATCCTTACTACATTCCACAAATATAAATGAAGGGAGTTTTAGTCTGTAATGTCCTTAAATTGCTTGGTTCTTCCCTGCTTACATATGTCAAAAAATGTAGTTACCATCTCGAAATAACAGGAGAAGTATTTGTCAAATAAAAACTGAAAGAACTGAGGATGCTGGAAATCAGACATAAAAATAGAAATTGCTGGAAAAGCTCAGCAGGTCTGGCAGGATCTTTGCAGAGAAATCAGAGTTAACATTTTGGATTCAGTGACCCTTCCTCAGAACTCAAGTGGAGAAATGTCTGCCACTGGAAATTTCAAAATGAAGGAGATGGTCACCACATGACAGAGTAACATTTTACTTAAAGAAACAACAAAATTGTAGCCTCTGTTGAAAAAGAGGAAGCCATCCCAAATTGTATAGGAACAGAAGTGGGAGAACAAGAAAAAAAGATTGCTGAGTGGCACAGCCAAAAATTCCACTTTTGTTTCCACTCTGCTTTTCCTGAGGGCGGAGAAAGGAGTAGGATCCAAACACTCCCACTCCTATTAAGAAGCTAATTTACAGAGTGACAATTTCAGCCAGATTGTGTTTCTGGACAGTTTTTGGATGTTTGCAAGGTGGAGTTTATCAGTTGCCAGGTTTTACCAAGCTCCAGGGAGGCAGGACAAGTTTTATGAGGTAAGTAATTCTTAGTGTTAGGGTGATTACTTTTATGTTTTCAGATTACCCACCTGCAGAGATTAACAGTCGAGGTCACATTGTTTATTTGGGAGCTTAATGGGCCATTGGATGCAATCCAGCTTTTTAATATGTTTATCAACGCTTGATAGTAACTATATAAGGATTAATTACTTATAGACATGTTAAAAAACTGGATTGCTTCCAAGACCCTATAAATCCTTGAAATAAACAATTGGACTCTTGACAATGTTTATGTAGCTTCTCTTGCAGAGTCAACACACATTATATGCAGGATTTATGGGCTCTTGCATTTAAGTTTGGATATATTTTTGAGATATTATTGAAATTCTTTATGGCTGTTGATTTTGTGAATAGACAGGAATGAAGGTCAGCTTTTTACTTTGCTTGCTCTGGCGTCATTCTGTCTCCCACTCCTATCTCCATTCCCAGTGTAGATGGCATACCTGCCTGTGGACCAGTCCAGGCCCCTGCCAATCTCCTATTCATGTTCCCTGGCAACCTCAAGATAGAAGCAGGAATGCAATGTGGGTTCAGTCCCAACTCATGGTTCCTGCTTTTCGTGGAAATTTGGGTCCCTTGTTCTACTTATATGCACAAACTTCAGGAAAATGTTCCAAATGCAAAAAAAATTACTTTCTTTAATTAACGGGTTTGAAGAAATAAGTTAAGCACATTGCTGTGTTTGCTTTATCTGATTTGGACAGCACAGTGGCTCAGTGGTTAGCACTGCTGCCTCACAGCGCCAATGACCAGGGTTCAGTTCCACGCTCAGGCAACTGTCTGTGTGGAGTTTGCACGTTCTCTCTGTGTCTGCGTGGGTTTCCTCCGGTGCTCTGGTTTCCTCCCGCAGTCCAAAAGATGTGCAGATTAGGTAAATTGGCCATGCTAAATTGCCCGTAGTGTCCAGGGATGTGCAGGTTAGGTGAGTTAGCCACGTGAAATGAGGGGTTACAGGATACTGTGGGGGTGGGTGTGTCCAGGTGGGATGCTCTTCAGAGGATTGGTGCAGACTTAATGGGCCGAATGGCCTCTATCTTCTCTGTAGGGATTCCCTAAAAAAACTTCTTTCCAACTAAACATGTGTTCAGACATTTGTTTGACTAAAAGGTGGCTCATGCTAAAGCTGATGATGATTATTATTATTGTTCCTTGTTTGTTTTTCACTGCTATGTTCTTTCTCTCTTCTTAGCTGACCCAGCTTAAAACTAAATGGCCTGAATGTGTTATCAGATATACAATATTTAAAGTGATAAAGAGTGTTTTTTTTGGTGAAAGGTTTTACAGAGAGTAGCAGTGTACAACAGTAACTCGAGCCTCCAGATGAATAACAAAACTGCTCGAGAGAAGCTACAGGAGAACATAGCTCATTTTGAAACCAACCCATACAAGTAAGTAAGACCAAATAGCTTCTCACTTAATGTGAAAGGAACTCTGAGTTGGAGAGCCCAGGAACAGGAAAGGAATTTAATAAGGAGGGAAGGTGGTGGACCAGAATCCTGATACTTTCCTGCCTCTGCCTGAATTAAATTCGGGGCAGGAGGCTCAAGTTCCACCTTTCTACACTGCTGCCAGTTATAGAGCCATGGAGTCATACACCATGGAAACAAACTCTTCGGTCCAACCAGTCCATGCCAACCATAATCTCAAACTCAACTAGTCCCACCTGATTGTGCTTGGCCCATGTTCCTCCAAATGTTTCCTATTTATGTACTTACTTAAATGTATTTTAAATGTTGTAATTGTACCTACATCCACCACTTCCTCTGGAAGTTCATTCCACATATGAATCACTTTCTGTGCAAAACAATTAACTGCCCCTTGTGTCTTTTTAAAATCTTTCTCCTCTCACCTTAAAAATATGCCCTCTAGTCTTGAAATCCCCCACTGTGGTGAAAAGACATCTGCCATTCATCCTATCTATGCCCCTCATGATTTTGTAAACCTCTGTGGAGTCACTTCTCCAATTCCTAACTTCAGTGTAAAAAGTCCCAGCATATTCAGCCTCTTCCCCTTACTCAAACACTCTATTCTTGGCAACATCCTGGTAAATTTCTTCTGAACCCTTTTCAGCGTAATAACATCTTTCCTATAACAGGGTAACCAGAACTTCATTCAGAACTCCATAAGAGGCCCTACCGATGTTCTGTACAATCTCAACATAATGTCCCAATTCGTAAACTCAAAAGTCTGAGCAATGAATTTAAGAGTACTAAGCGCCTTAATTAATTAAGGCCTTTAAGTGATTAATGAATGATTACTTAAACTCCTCTTCCAGTCTGGATTGTAATTGTTCCAGCTCCAGGGGGACAGGGAATAGCTAGCCTACCCAACTGGCTAACCAGTGTGGGCAGGCTGCCAGTTGCGAGTTGGCAGTGGTTTCTCAACCTGGTCTGATCAAGAAGCTGGGCATAGAGTTGAGATTGGCCATTGAGAGCTACACCTGCCCACCGGCACCCTCTCCTCACAATGCCCACCCTGCAAGATGCCCCCTCCCCCAAAACCAATACTTGCTTTTCTGCGAATGTTCCGTCATCCCTGGAGATCCTAATCTCAAACCCTAATTCCAGTGAAAAGTCTGCTGACACCAGCTGTTTGTTTGCTGGAAGATCTGTCGAGCGCTCCCATCTTGACAACTTCTGGGCTTCTGTCCTCCAATCTCTCCATGGGAAGGTACTGTCCATTGTGTTTTACCATGAAATTTTGAATCAGATACAACTTTATGGTGAATTAAGCTATAATTGCTGTAACTGCTGTATTTTAGCATGAATTAAAATTCTGTCTCAGGATGAATCAATCTAGATTTTTAAGATTGAGTAACAACAAATTATCAAACCATTAATGCAATTTTCTACAAAATGAATTACTTCTGAGTTGTAATCATGTTGACAGTTATTCTGGTGCAGCAGATCCCAGCAAAAAAAGAGCAGAAAGGACCAATGTGTCTGTTATTGTGCACGCTAGTTACAGGAAGAATGTTGTTCAAGACATCATAACAGCTCCCTTTGCATTTTCCAATAATACTGTGTATACTTTGAGAGCTGCCTAATCTGGAAGGTAGGGTTTCAGTTTGACATTTCATTTGAAGGGTAATACTCTGGCAACACAATGGCATCTCAGATTAATATGTGCCATATGAACATCCTCAACATCTTCTTTGGAAGAGTTAATCACTTCCCATATCAATCACTAAAATATCTGTGAGAGATAGTAGGAACTGCTGATGCTGGAGTCTGAGATAACAAGGTATGGAGCTGAATGAACACAGCAGGCTAGGCAACATCAGAGGAGCAGGAAAGCTGACGTTTTGGGTCTGGACCCTTCTTCAGAAAACTGAGGAATGGTTCAGACCCGAAACGTCAGCTTTCCTGCTCCTCTGATGCTGCCTGGCCTGCTGTGTTCATCCAGCTCCACATTAAAATGTCTGTGTCATTCTGTGGAGCTGACAAAGATCGCCCCATGATATTCTGGTTCTTACTTTTACTCTGGGTGTGTGTGCCTGTCTTTGTCTGTGAACAAGAGACAAAGAAATGAAGAGAGAAGAAGTGAGAAATGGTGAAGGGGAGTGGAGAGATGAAAAAGTACAGGGAATAATAAAAGTAATATTGATGAGGACAAAAACCAATTAGGAGAAAGCGAGAGGAGGAGAAAGAAAGTTTGGAGGGTGGGGTGTGAATCTATTTTTTTTGTTATGGTATTCCAATAATGGCCGATAAATAATTGTTCACATTTATCCTTCAAACCATTTCAGCACTGTACCTCAGATAGGACATATTAATCTTGGAATGGGTACTTTAAATTTTGTCAGGGATTAGAAAAGGCTAGATGATGAAGGCAGGCTGCATACACTAAGCTTGTGTTCAACTGAGTTGAGAAAGTTGAGGTATGTATGATGTTAAAAGCATTTGACGGAGAAACTGTATCTTCTGGTGAGGGAATCAAAACCAAGGGACCTTAATGTTCTCATTGGCTTGGCTGTAATTTTAGGTTAAAGCTGAGAAATGGAGTCATGGCACAGATCATCAATAATCTAATTGTTCAATGGACTGAATGGTCCGAATCCTACAAATCTCCCTACTCCACCTGTCTTAAAATGCAACTCCCTTGGTAAATACTCTTCAGTGTTCAGGTCACTCTTGACAGTTTCCGTAGCAATGTATAGAGTGTAGAATCGACTTCTTTAGTCTAATTGGGCTTTGGGTATGTTGGACGGTGAGGATGGGAGGCTGCCAGTTGCATTGACACAATAGTCCCCAGCCTCATTTTTGTAGAGCGGGGAGAAACAGGGTGAATGTTGTTGAGGAGTCCCTGCAGAAATCCCCACAGTGCAACTGGCTCCATCACCAAGATCTGTGCTTAGGGGCTACAGCTCAGATGGGGAGGTTGGGGTGTAGGGTCACTCCCACTGCACTTACCAAATGAACCAGGGACTCTTGAGAAATTTCAGGGATAGTATTTGTAATTGTGGGTTGACTGTTTTGAGCCAAATGAAATATTCCAGGTGAAATGAATAACTTTATTCTGCTTGCGTTTTGCAGAAGGGAACACGTACAACCTGTGCCACAGAAACTGAGGAGATAAAGGCTATGGAGAGACACTCCTGGAACTCTTCAAGAGCCGCTTGCACTATCCTGATCTCTGTTGTCTTAGGATCTCTCGATATCAATGCTAACCGAACAATGAATGTGACATCCATTTCAATAGCACCCTAAATATATTGGAAACATTTGTTTTTACAATGAGCACGGTCAAACTTGCAATTCAAAACAATTCATCTCAAGTAATTCTTTTGATTAAGCATTTTCAGGAGATGGGAACAAATTCCTCAGGAGCTTGAAAGACCAATTTTTGTTTCCATTCAGTCATTCTGTGCTAAAACATAAATTAATCCCTCAGGTGACAGGGTTCAGTGGGTGCCTTCCATCTCCTTATACCTGCCAGCAGATGCCATTCAGCAGGCTTGAGCTGGAATGATGCGATTTGACGAGTTATTCGATATTAAGGAATCGCACACTCCACTTCGATTGCTCGACTTCCAGTTTTTGTATTCAGTTGAGTTTAGGAAACTGAGGGATGATTATAACAAGGTGTGTAAAATGCTAAAATCATTCAACAGAACAAAACGTAGCCTATGGTGAGAGAATTGAGACCAAGTGGCCATAATCTTCTAAATGCTTCCCATTTCCAATAACGATCAGGGGATAACCATCAGGAGCAGAGAAAACTCTCTTAACATCCCAGAAGTAGTGATAAGTATGGAAATGGATGGAAGGGAGGAACTCAGGAAAATCTTAATCACCAGAGAAGTGGCACTGAACAAATAACGGAACTATGGGCTGACAAGTGATTATGTCCTGGTGGACTTCATCTTAGGGAGGATAGAAGTTTGGTTGACCAATGGGAAGTCGAGAGTAGGCATAAATGGGTCTTTTTCAGGTTGGTGCAATATAACATGTGGTGTGACCACAGGGATCAGTGCTGGGGCCTCAAATATCTACAATTTATATCAATGCCTTGGATGAAGGGGCTGAAGGTATGGTTGTCACATTTACACAGATAGGTATGCAATAGGTTGTGAGGAGGGCATAAGGAGGTTACAAAAAGATATGAATAGGTTCATTGAGTTGTCAAAGATCTGGCAAATGGTATATAATGTGGGAAACATGAAATTGTCCTTTTTGGAATGAAGAATTAACAGGAAGCATATTATCTAAGTAGGAAAGATTGCAGAGGCATCTAGGTGCCCCTGTGAATGAATTGCAAAAGGTTAACGTACAGGCACAGCAAGTGATTAGGAAAGCTAACAGAATATTCTCACTTATAGTGAGGGGAATTGAATGCAAACATAGGGAGATTATGTTTCAGTTATACAGGACAGTGGTGAAACCATATCTGGTCTACATTATTCATCCCAGGAAGGATGTAAACTTGGTGAAAGCAGTTCAGAGAAAGTTTACCGTTGACCACGAACTGAACTGGACCAGCCACATAAAAGGTTAGGATCCTACAGCAAGTAACTCACTGCCTGACTGCCCTAATCCTGTCCACCACCTGCAAGGCACAAGTCAGGAGTGTGATGGAAAACTCCTCTGGATGAGTACAGCTCCAACAGCATTTGTGAAGCAATACCATTCTGGACAAAGCTGCCCACATGATTGGCACCCAATCCACCACCTTCCACGCATTCGCTCCCTATATCAGAGTGGCAGCAATGTTGTATTATCTCTAAAATGTTTGCAATAACTCAATAAGACCCTGCACCAGCAACTTCCAAACCCATGACCTCTACCACTTAGAAGGAAAATGGCAGCAGATGCATGGTATCAGCGCAACTTGTAATTTACCCTCCAAGCCATAATTCATCTCACTTGGAATACATTGGCTAATAGGGTGGTGGAAACACTTTCAACCTTGACTTTTAGAGGGGAATTCCAGAAGTAATTGAACCAAAAGAAATTACTGTGCTGTGGGAAAAGGGTAGGGGAGTGTGACTAATTGGATAATTCTACCATCGGCGCAGCATAGGCACAATAGGCCAAATGAAGGTAGGCATTGTCACATATTACCATTGATTGTTGGAAGTGGTCTGTCTAGAAAAATTGGCCTGAGTTATAGCTGACACATAGGTGGCAGGGAAAGTGGTGGGGGTGACAGAGGTTGAGAGAGGGGCAAAGATTAAGATGGGAAACTTGGACCCCGACTCCAGACTGTGCATCTTTTGCATGTTCCCCACCCAGAAGCCAGGTTTGAATACCTAACCGGATTGGAAAGATTTTGGAGCACACTGCAGGATCCAATCCATGTCCCTGTGCCAGGAGGCCTGAACCTGTAGCCCAGGGATCTTTTTAGTTTGGGATCTGGTTGGAGGGCTGGAGTCTGGCTGTGGGAGTGGGTGGGGAGTACTCCTGCTGCAAAGGGACTCATGTCATCACTAAATTATAGTTTCTGACCTGACCCAACCCACTCTTTTCTGAATGTTAAAATTCACCGCATAATGTCCCTTTATAATTGATTCTTCCGTCTCAGTTTTCCGTCCTCACTTCGAGCCGCTGAAACTGAGATGTGGTTCGGGGGCTAGTTCTCCCCTCTGAATTAGAATATTGTAGCTTCAAGATCCACTGCACAAACGTGAGCTCATAATTGAGGCTGACACTCAAGTGCAGTGCACTACTGAAGCAGTGTTGCTTTGTCAGAAGATCTTTGTCTTTGAGATGAAATTCTAAACTAAGCTTCAGCTGCTCTTATCAGATGGACTCATATTTGGAACAGGCAAGTTCAAATTGTGCCCTGAACCTCATTTGAAAACACCGCAGTAGCTTCCTTTAAAATTCCTCATTCTGGTTTAGAAATCCCCCTGTGGTGTCTCATTTCCCTAAGTCAGTAACCACTTCCAACCAAATGACTAAGATTTCTGCATTTGCTAATTCTGGCCTCATGACCATCCTCAATTTTAATTACTTCACTATTGGTAATGATGCCTGCACTTAACTGTCCCTAAACTCTTGTGATTCTCACTCTAAAGCTTTTCAGTCTGCATATCTTTGCCTGTCTGATGGTCCTTGAAACTTGCATCTTTGACCGAGCACATTTTGTTATTTTACCACGTTAAAAGCTCTGTATAAATGCAATTTGTCATTGTGGTAGCCCAATGGATTTACTTGATTCTATCACAGTGTGTTCATACTGTCAAACAGACCACTGGGTGCCTGAGGAGCCTATGTAATATTAATCAGTACAAGAATGTAAAAATTCAAGGTGATGATTCCTTAATACACTTAATAACTGACCTCAGTTGTTTGGACGATGGGTAATTGTTCTGAGCAGCTTTAGGAGTGGATCTGGTTGACAGGAAAGGAATCAGCTTGGAAGGCCCCACCATGGTTCAATGGCACCTGTTGGTGTGGAATACTGGTACAAAGCTGACCCAGGAACAAAAACAGTAATTGCTGGAGAAACTCGGCAGGCCTGGCAGCATCTCTTTTTTTTTTATTTATTCACAGGATGAGGGCATCATTTATTGCCCATCCTTAATTGCCTAGAGGGAAGTTAATAGTCAACCACATTGCTGCAGGTTTGGAGTTGCATGTAGGCCAGACTGGGTAAGGATGGCAGATTTCCTTCCCTAAAGGACATTAGAGAACCAGATGGGTTTATTTTGACAATTGACAGTGGATTCATGGTCATCATTAGTCTCCAGGTATTTATTGAATTTAAATTCCACTGTCTGCCGTGGCAGGATTTGAACCTGGGACCCCAGAACATTACTTAGGCCTCTGGGTTAACAGTCCAGCGATAAAAACTGCTAGACCATCGCCTCCCCCAAGAGTTAATGTTTCGGGTTCAATGAACTTTCATCAGAACTTGTCCGAAGAAGAGTCACTGGACCCAAAACGCTAACTCTGCTTCCTCTCCACAGATGCTGCTGACTTTCTCCAGTGATTTTTGCTTTCCTTTCAATTTGACAGCATCCACAATTTTTTTTTCCTCTGCCTCAGAGCTGACCTAAGCTTCACACACCACCGTGTCACCACTGCTCATTGCATGCACTCCAGAAGCTGTGAACTGGCTAGAGTCAAGAATGGAGGTGAGATGAGCAATATGAGAAGGACCTGATGATGAGCCTTTCTAGATTCCCCAAGCTGACCTTAAAGAAACACAGAAAATGCTGGAAATACTCCATAAACCAGGCAGCATCTGTGGAGAGAGGAACAGAGTTAAAGTTTCAGGTTGATGACCTTTCATCAAATTTTATTCAGATTCCCAGCATCTGTAATATATTGACTTGTGAAGACTTTACTCACTCCATTCATTACCTTTTTCAGAAAGGGGTCTCAGAGGAGTTGGGGAAAATCTTTATTCAATTATTTTACCCACTGTACCTTCTCAACATGTTTGGGTTTTAAAATTTACGAGCGACAAAGTATGCTTTTGTGAAGGGGGGTTGAATCTAGACTTCAGGAAAATAAACGGTGTTTTAACAGTTTTTCAATGGTGCGCAGATGTTTCATATCAGGACAACATAGTCATGGTTTTTTTTTAAATTGCCACTTTGAATTATGCATAACTGGGTGATACAAAAAAAAACTTGAATACCATGACTTGTGCCTTCGCCTTATTTATTATGTTAATAAAGTTAATGTTGAACCAGTAGTCGTGTGTTGCCTATACCTTTACTTTTTCTAAAAATTTGGTTTTACTGCTAGCATTTTGTGTGCACCCTGCCTAATGTTGTGTTTTAAGTTAATACTGCTCCTTTTACCTTCTCAAGTTTTGAAGGTTACATTTAGACTGAGGTTGTGTACTAAAACTGGTGCATCCAATTTGTACATCCTCCCCATTAACAATTCCATTGGTGGAAAAATCCATTATTCAACACTGTAGGATTTTCCCTTCACATCACATTCTATGATAATTCACCAATAAATCTTCCTCTATCGTCAAGTATTGTTTCTGCTCTTGGTACCTTCACAGCAGTTAGTCTTGTACAGTGACCCTTAGAATCATAGGGACCCTACAGCACAGATAGAGGCCATTTGGCCCATCAAGTCTTCACCAACCCTCTGAAGAGCATTCCACCCTAACCCCGTAGACCCACATTTACCATTGTTAACCTTCCCAGCCTGCATGTCTTTGGATTGTGGGAGGAAACTCACGCAGACAAGGGGAGAATGTGCAAACTCTTCACAGACACCCAAGGGTGGAATCAAACCCGGGTCCCTGGTGTTGTGAGGCAGCATTGCTAACCATTGAGCCAATGTGCTGCCCCAAACTATAGTTGACAGATGAAGTAGCATGGAATTTCGTCCTAACTCCTTTAACTGAGGGAGATCTTAGTTCTCTATTTGTCTTGGGAACAGTTACTAGCCCTGAGCACCATTATGTCAGGTCTCCCTCTGGCAATGTGGTCCCACTTTCAATCAAACTGTCTAACTGTGATTTTACTTTGCCTGTCAGAGCATGAGGAATTTTCCTAGGAGGGTACAAGCAGATGGATTTGGCAACTTCCTAAAGAGTCATATGATACTCCAACTTCAGCTTGCTTAAACCTTTGAACAACTTTGGAACTTCTTGCCAAATTCATTACTGGTTGGCATGGATGAAGGGTCTGTTTCCATGCTGTACATCTATAAGATCCTCATTGACTGAGCTTCATTGTGATTTGCCTGTGCATCAGAACTGTTCCTCCTTGACCTTGGAGTTTTATCTTTGCTGCTCTTATTCTCACAGACTTGAATTATTGTCAATTAATCAAAACTATTGACTTTCATGTTGCCAGCATTGAAGCTGCTCTTATGTTGAGTTTAAAATTCTGTTTTAAATCTCTGTACTGTCATCTTGCTAGTCCAGAATCTGCTTCGATTCTGCTTCTTTAACTTGTTGAACTTATTCCTTGGTGCATGATTTCTATTTCTCTGGAAATTTTCCTTTTGCAGGAATTTTTGTTTTGAGGTGATGAAAGTGCTGTTAACTTAAAATACTTTTGAGTCCCAAGTGGCCACACTTATATCATTTAGCTCCCTCTGGTGGACAGTCTTTGAGTCTGTGATTCTGTTTGGAGCCTCATTTTGTACAACTTCATTTGGTTGATAATGTTATTTTTGGCTTTTGGGAGAGTAACAGCATCAGCTTAGGATGAACCCATCTGGCTATGTCATAAAAATTCTCAATGTTTCCTCACAGTTTTAACAGGTTTTAGGTAATGATTTCTGCCACTGTAGAATCTGACAGCTTCTCTTACTGCACAAGGGATACTGTGCGGTATCTAGAATCATAGAATTGTACAGCATGGAAACAGATTCTTTGGTCCAACTTGTCCATGCTGACCAGATATCCTAAATTAACCTGGTCCAACTTGTCAGCATTTGATCCATATCCCTCTGAACCCTTCCTATTCATGGTACCCATCCAATTGCCTTTTATTGTTGCAATTTTACCATCCTCCACCACTTCCTCTGGCAGCTCATTCCATACACGCACCACCCTCTACGTGAAAAGTTTGCCCCTTAGGCTCCTTTTAAATTTTTCCCTGCTCACCTTAAACCTGTGCCGTCTAGTTTTGGACTCTCCTACACTGGGGGAAAGACCTTAGCTATTCACCCTGTCCATGCCCCTCATGATTTTATAAACCTCTATAAGGTCACCCCTCAGTCTCCGATGCTCCACGGAAAATAGCTCCAGCCTATTCCACCTCTCCCAAATAATCTAATTGAATCATCCTTCAAAGGTGCAGTATCATGCGACATGACATAAATCTAATGATTACCATTGATTCCTCCAAGGCTGAGCCCATTGATTAAATCTCACCTGTTCGATCACTAAAATTTATTTTGGGGCCACTGTGTTCTCCTCTTTATCTTAACAGAACATCTTCATCTATTGGATCTACAGTAGGGAAAGTGTGCTGGCTTAATTCACTGCGCATTCACATGGAAGCCTGAAGCTGTTACACAGCTTGGAACCTGCCACTTGTGCAGCTCCCACCTCTAGCTCCATCATGGGCTTTCCACATAATCAAATAGTTAACGCAATGGCAAGGTCTCCACTGGTGCTGCCATCCCCATGGACAAATGTGCCTGGCTGACTTGGGTCAGCACTTGTTCTTTTTTTCTCCTTCTTACGATCGCAGTGTTCCAGTTCTTTGTCTGATCTCTCCAGAGTGTGGCTCCTCTATGGCGAGGCTTTGAATTCTTCTGAGACTCTTCTTTCCTCATCTTCAGAGTCTTTCCTTCTTCTATTAACTCAGCTGCAGCTTTGAAAACCTTCCAAAGTCCTGTCCTGCCTTCAGTGTATCCACTTATCAGCGGCTCCGGATTAAGTTCAGATCCTGGCTTTGGAGGTTTTTGTCCATAGCTGCTTCTTGCTTAGCCTTAAGTTTTGTGCCAATACTGCACATTGAGATACAGGTCTGGAGTATCTCAGGCTGTGGGTGTCTACACATACCCTATCCCCGAGGTTGCTCGTCCCTTATTTCTCAGTAAAGCTCTTCAACTCCTTCTGTACTGTAACATTTCTTTATTTCCATCTGTGCTACCTTTCTGCATATAAATTCTGTGTCTTATACCCTCTCTCTCACACAGGCAAAAATATACAGCAAGGAAAATAGGACGTTGGTGGACTGTTTGACCATTATAGACAAGTTGAGTCCCATTGTTTTAACGGTTCTATAATAAATCCTGCTGCAGATAACCTACCTGGGTGCAGTGCACTCTGATACTCCATCCAGCAATCTGGCTGCTTAATTCTTGACTCCTACTGCCCTGTACCTGATGATTATCACAGAGACTTTCCCCATGAATGTAATGATGAAGGACCTTTGTAAAACACGCCAGGTTCATGCATCATTCAGAAGGAATTCCGAGTTCACTGTAAGATGAGACAATATTTTGTTTGTTTCACAAACTGCAGGGGAAATATAACCAACAGAATACTTTTTTTTCTTGATTCATTCATAGGATGAGGGCGTCACTGGCTAGGCAGCATTTATTGCCCCTTCCTAATTGCCCAGAGGGCAGTTAAGAGTCAACCACATTGTTGTGGGTCTGGAGTCACATGTAGGCCAGACCAGGGTAAGGATGGCAGTTTCCTTCCCTAAAGGACATTAGTGAACCTTATGGGTTTTTCCAACAATCGGCAATGGATTCATGGTCATCATTGGATTCTTATTTCCAGATATTTTATTGAATTCAAATTCGACCATCTGCCGTGGTGGGATTTGAACCCAGGTCCCCAGAGCATTATCTGGGTCTGCTAGATTAACAGTCCAGCGATAATACCACTAGGCCATCGTCTCCCACATCATACTGAGTGTGATGACCAGCATAATGGCAATCAGTACAACCACTCCTTATGCAATATGTTAAACAATAATTTGTTGAAAACTTCAATTTGCATAGTGCCTTTTACAATTTGAGGAGATTCCAAAGTATTTTACAGCCATTGGAGGGGGCAGTAAGTCAGACAGTCATGTTACAAATTTTGAGATCCAGTAAACAGGAATGCAATAATGAACA